AGATATGTTGTTTACGTCCAACACGCATAAGATTACATAACTCAAAATGATTCGAGCAAAACCGGTCTTTTGTTAAAAGGAAGAATGGTTAATAGAAATTGGTCCTTTTGAGTGACATAATCGTGTATCGTCATCGATCCGTGATGTTGAACAATGAAAAATTTGTTGTGAAATTAGTGAAGATAAAATAGCATTTTGTGAAAAAACTGCGGGTCTACGGAGTGGGAACTTTTCGGATTTGAACTCAGCGTGTTCGAAAGTGTTAGTTCCCGTAAAAATATTTCAGATCTAAGACATGCTTAATGAAAATCTTTTTCTAGCCACTTTTCGAGGTCACAACATACGGACTAATACCGCCTGATGATTCTTTACTGATGAAACAGACTGTTGCGGAATTTTGAGGTAAGCGAAATATATATATATATATATATATATATATATATATATATATATATATATATATATATATATATATATATATATATATATATATATATATTTGTTGCAATCTTGTAACATGGCGATATAACAACTTGTTCCAGACGAACACATCCTTATATCATGGCCAGAAATGAAGGACAACATGGCTGACAAGCATGCGCGTTAAGCTTACACTAAATAAATTCAAAATGGCGGCATACTATAGATTTGATAAGAGAAAATTCAACATACGCATTTTTTGTTCGATCCCGTAAAGAATTTACACGGTCCCACGTCTAAAAATTTATCAAATAAGGCCAGTATCAACTCCCGAAAATCTGGCGACAGTCCGAGTAGCGTAGATATGTTCCCGAGAGATTTATATTTCTACTTCTCGCTTTGTATATAAACGCCTAATAAATCGACATAATTTGCCGAAGTGAGGCTTTCCAATACGTAAATTTGGCCACATATGGTCGACTTTTCGCACGGTCCCACGTCTACGCATATTCGAGGTGGACAATACTTTCCTTTTAGCTGCATTTAAAGGCTCAACGGCTTGCTTAAACTTGTTCCCGAACGCCTTGAAACATAGCATTTTCATGCCGCAGATTCGTCAAAATTTAGTCCACCAAGCGCTGGGAAATAGTCGCTAAACTAGCATAAACAAGCAAAATATGCTCGCCACTTCGCTTCTTGCTGCCATTTTACATTCCTGAATTGTTTTGAGTTGTTACTAGGTTACCAGGGCCTATACCGCTGTATTATTTTTAAATTTGCTCGTAGGCTATATTCATAAAAACAAGCGCGGCAAATTTAATATATTTGGTTTGTGTTGGCGAAGATTCGTTCTGAGATTTCAATAATAAAGTGGATTAATGTTGCCAGTATTAGTATTTACGTTTATTTTTGTTTGATTATAGCTAAATATAGTGTTTTGCATAGGAATGATTGCAGAATACCCGTCTACTTTTGAAGACCTCACTTGTAATTATCATGATAAGATGATACGAAGTGAAAATGATTACGTAATAATTGTATACTCACGCTATTATAAAGCGTGGGTAAGCTATATTTTGCTTATTGCGCGCGTGTTATGATAACAAGTGAAGTATTTAGAAGTGGACGGGTATATTCTGCAATAGCTCCCCTTATAGAATCGAACCGCCATTTTGAATTTTTGAGATTTTGAGCCCACAGGTCAACCCGCTGGCTGACCTCGATTTCTGGCCATGTGTCTTGACAACAAACTTGTTTGCCGATCAGTACAACTTGTGCGTTTTTGTCTATGTAGCGAAGACTATACATCAGTAAAATTTGGTAAAGTTTGTGCAAAACCTGGATATAATTAAATTAAGCATTATGAACTTTACCAATAATATAAATAACCAAACATTGACAAGGATACTAACCGCATTCCTGGAATTCAACTTCCTGGAATTCAATTTCCTGTTAAATTATAGTTCCTGGAACGACTCAACAAACATTCAAGTCCTGAACTATGACTGTATATAAGACCTTTGCCGAACGTGCATGGAATCAATTTATGGTATCGTTTGGGCCTTTTTCTGCTATTAAAAGATGGGCATGCAGTATTACCTGCCATGAATGTTGCTGCACAGGTAAAGTATTTTCATACCTTATAGTAATTCTAATTAAATGCATAGGAATAGCCATATTATTAAGTATCAAAATGTGCTTTCGACTTCGTTTGCTAGGGTTGTATTGCATCTGATCGACCAAGTTAAGCTTCATGCAAAATCCAATGCGATGCCAATGGTGTATAAAATTTCTGTATTACATGAAGTTTTCACTTTAAATGATGTGCTCTCGTGTGTTTTGTCAATAAATACCGAAAGCTGGTCTAAAATTAAGTTCGTTTTTAAGCTCGAACAAAGTGAAAGTGCATGACAAAGCTCTTAAGCGTAAATAAAGGGATTATTATTTTATCTGGCCATTCTTTTACTTACCAGTTGGTCTTAGAAGGCTATTTAGATATACATGTTGAGGATTGGAAAATTTATAACTGAGAGTAAATATGTGAGTGCCAGTTTCAGTTCAGTTATACGGTCTGGTTACTTAGGAAATTGAAAGTTAGTTTTTAAGCTCGAACAAAGTCAACAAAGTGAAAGCGACAAAGCTCTAAGAAAAAATTAAGCACAATCTTTCCTTTAACTGTTATATTGCATAATTTTAAATTTAATGACTATGACTGAAGTAATTATTTGGCCATTCTTTTACTTACCACTTGGCCTATATACTGTAGATGTCAATAAGACAATGTATATAGATATCAATGTTGAAGATTGGAAAAATTTAGAGTAAGTATGTGAGTGCAAGTTTCAGTTCAATTTATACGGTCTGGTCACTTATGACACTTATGAAAATGAAAGCTAGCTTCCCACATATTATTCACTTCTTGGAATCTGCACTGTAGTAACGAGAAATCTAGACACCAATTATTCCAGGTCTTTTATTTTGACAAATTGCCTTAACAACATATGCATCAGAATTAGAGCAAGAACGAAATAAATCTCATCAAGGTAAATCAAAATATGGTATATATTCAATACATTAACTTGAAATGAATGTTACTGCATGATCATACTGCATGATTGGAATTCTAATACATAGGAATAGCTATATATTAATATCAAAATGTGCTTTCGACGTCGTTATATATATATATATATATATATATATATATATATATATATATATATATATATATATATATATATATATATATATATATATATATATATATATATATATATGTATATATAAATTATATACTTTACTGTTATAATGCATAAATATATTTTGATTACTGTTCTATGATTCCTATACGGATGAAACAGACTGTTGTGGTTTTTTGAGGTAAAACGAAAAACTATATTACGCTCTATCTATATGGTATTGAGCACTGTTTGTGTTTCGTAA